GGTGGGGGCGGGGAACCAAAGCATTTTTGATTGATTCATCGACTGTTCTCCGAAGAGGTAAAAGACAGTCTGGATGAGAAGAGAACTAAGTGCTCAGGGAACTGTCACTGCCTTTGCAGTCTGGTCAACACAAAACTGTTCATTCGTGCCTTGTAGGCATTTTTGTCTTTCTCAGTCTCAAGATGACACTTGGATAGTAAGAGAAATATGAGCAGGTGTACCTATTAAATATGTAAAATATACATCTTCTATTCCATTCACTCAGAAGATGTATTTCTAAAGGGATGTGGAAAGTCACCTAATATAAAGACAGACAGGTTAAAAAATAATCTATGCAGTTTTTTTAGCACACAAGAATGCAAGCGGGCTTAGCACAACAACCTTCCACAGAAAATAAATGCAAGCCAATTAAAAATTCAGGGTTTTTTCTTTAAGCTAATTCTTCAGGTTTTACTAATTAGCAACTAATAGTTCTGTCATCTGAGCTGGGGAACATAGGAAGAATACCAGTGGTATGTTTTCAATCAAAGCATTTGCATGGAAGAATGAATCATATTTTCCATGAAGAATTACTGCTTAGGAGCAGTTGGGGGCAGAAGAAAAGCAGCCTTCACACAACTATAAAATGGAAAGGAGACCTGAAATTTTTTTAAAAAAAGAAGGCATCTTTCTGCCCCCTTTACCAAAACGAGCAGAGGCCCTATAATTTGACATGACTAGTGAATCTAAGAAACTTTGCACGAAGATCCCTGCAGGAATAATTTAAAAACTAGACTCTTCAGAGTAAGACAGAAGACAATGCAACACATGTTTTCTGTAACAGGGAAGTGAATAAAAGTTAAGTGTCGGCCAGGGTACAGGAATGCTTTAACTATTATGTCACCTGCCTTTGAAAGTTTATAAAAGATAAACGCATGGCAGTCAATGAAAGCAAGAAGAGATGGTGGTTTGAAATACCTGGCTACAGACAGAGTACGGGGCAGAAGAAGTGCTGAGAAATCTTTGGGCAGAGGATGGGGTTGCTTACCCTGACTCTGGCACAAGAAGATCAGGTCCTCCAACCTAGCCCCTCCTGTGCTCCCCCAAATTGTAAAGTGCTAGTGATCCTGTAGCCGAGAGCCTGTCAGCACCAAGCCATGTCTGAGCCATGCATCTTATACATCTGCTTTCACACCTTGATATACAGCCACATCCACTGTGACCCTTCACGAGAGAATACACCCTATCCCCCCTGGGAAGATTTTATTCTAAACATATGCTGTGAATGTTTGAAGTGTCTGCTGTCCCTGAGTTTTCTTTCTTTTTTTTTTTAAGCCACAAAACCTAAAATACTTTAGATTTTTGCCTAACTACAATTTCTGAAGATGTAACATTACATACCAAAACATCATAAAATCTTGTGCAATAAAAATTTTACAGATGTCCTTCTGAAGGGGGAAAAAAAAAATGGTTTTCCCTTTTCCGGTCTTACAGGAAGCCTGCCCACACTTTAGAAATACAAAGTTAATATATATAGAAGCACAAATTAGGCATCTTGGAAAGTCTACATTTTCCAACCACAAAGAAATGAAGAAATGTGAGTGCTCACATGGCCATCCCACTGGATTAGAGGAGTCGAGTCTTTTGACCGGCTCAGCAGAGCTAGCAAATAACCCAAGGGCAAGGGGAATGGCCTCAAAAGATGTTTCTGGACTTGAGCTACTGAGGGTCTGCAGTGCGCCTGTGCTGTTCACACAGCCCAGGACTGAGACAAGCTATCCCCACAAGATAAACAAATGTGACCAAAACTGTGTGTCTCATTCTAAAAAGAGGGTATTTCTTCATACACTAAGAAATTCATCGAAAATTTATCACCTTCAATTCACATCAATCATTAGCTTTGCCTAGATAATTAAATCCATGTGAGCAGATAGATTTTATTATAAAGTATCTTAAAAAATACTTGTGACACTGGCAGGAGATTAAATAATCCAACAGGAGTTCTAAAGAAAAAGTAAAGTCTTAATCCATATGATGCAGAGGCTTAGTTTAGGCTATCTTTAAATTGTTTAATATGAATAAATAATACTGTACACGTTACTGTTTAATACTGTTTATGTTTCTACATGTATTGAAGTTTCCATTTGTTACATAAAACACTTTCTAAGAATTTAAAATGTTAACACCTCAAACTCATTCAAAATCTTTACAATTTCTTCACTTATAAAACGGAAAAAATTATAGTCGACCTACTGAGGTTGACTGAGAAAGGATTATGTTCAGAAGGTCACAGTGCACAGGCTCTCACCACACCACAGTTCCAGGTTTGCAGTTTGCTCAATTCCTAATCTGTGTTATAGAAGAAACTGGTCACAGGCAAGCAGGTGACCAAGTCTGGCAGAAAAACAAACAAACAAAAAAACACAGTCTACACTGAACCAAATACAAGTGCAAGCCTTGCAAACATGACTTAGAGAGTCAACTTATCACATGATGATGATGATGACGATGATGACGATGATATAGAAGAGAAGGAACAAAAAGAGGAGAAGGAGGAAGAGAAAGCAGAGAACTACCTTAATACTTTTGAGGCACTTTACCATGTGCCAGAGATTTTAGTAAATACTTTATTTGCATTTTCTCAGTTTCCAAAGAACACCATAGAGCAGGCAGTGATATCATCACTCCATCCCACAGTGAGGGAAGCATTCCTAGAGGGATCAGCACACTTGTCAAGGTCACATGGCTAGCAAGTGCAAAGCTGGAACTTGAACCCAAATTCCCTGAACATTGAGCCCATCTGCGCAGTCTTTAGAACTTCCCGTCCACATTATCTACATAACGATGTAATTTATGACCAATTTAGGAAGTACATTGGGATGGTAGGTCAAAATCACATTTGCCATTTGGTTACAGACAATTTATACAGTTTATAAGTTATCACGTAATTTTAACACTGCTTTGAACAATATAGTGGGAAAATCTAACGAATCGCCCACTGTGAATGCTGTAACCTCAAAACAGAGTGACGATGAGTGAATTCAGATCCCCCTAAGAGCTCTCCCATGCCCACCGTTAGTTAATAGGACATTGAAGGTCCAGGAGATGGGTCCCACAGGCAGCCCGGAGGGAGGACGAGGTTCCTAGGTGTAGAGAGCTCCCAGCCCCTCAAAGGATGGGAAGATGCAATGGGGAAAACCGTTAAAAGAAACGAACCAAGAACAAGCTGCAAGTAAAATGGCACAGAGAGAAAGTTAACGGTTATCTGCCCACGACTGTCAGCCAAGAAAGAAGTACTCATTAGCTGTCGTGACTAATTAAATACCTCACTGATTAGTGTGCATCTTAAAAAGACAACAAAAATAAATATGAGATGGGAAAAGTTTGTGTTCACACGTAAGAACAAAAACAATACAGAGAGCTTTGGCTAAGAGTCCAGCCTGAATTTTTCTTAAAAAGTAAATCTACTACCAGGGTCTATAAATATAGGTAGGAAGCATGTAGGAGTCCCTCACATTTTCTGCATGAATGATGTTTAAAAGAGACTCACAAATAAAAATACAATGCAGGAAACTTAGGAATGTGCTCAGGAAAAAAAAAAAAAAAAAAAAAAAAAAAAAAAAAAAAAAAAAAACCTACCAGGACTATTTTAAACCTTCATTTCTAAAAGGAAAGATGAAAAAAATAAAACTAAGTAAACCCTGAATGAAGGAAGGAACAAGCCCAATAGCCTTCCTCCTTATTTCTGTATTTACAGAAATAAGACTGACAAGCACTTTTGAAACAGAGAAGTGGTAACCTTTTTCAAAGGCTTAGAAGAATCCAGAAAACTCTCCTCCATGTTTCTGGCCACTTTTTTAAAAAATGCTCTCTCCACTTAAAAATATAATGTAGCTTCCATCTTTTCCAACAATATAATCTGGTCGGGTTGTGGGGGTAGCGGTTGCTGAGACTTAAGGTTGTGTGAGGCCCTTTGATCTGAGGAGTGAGCATTCCCCTTTGCTGCAAGCCAACTAATGAAGGGATGAAATTAGCTTTTATCCTGGGCACTTTCTTGAGCAAAAAAACATGCACTAATCAGCTGTCCTCACTAATCAGTCATCTGGCTAATGACCTTTTGCCTTAAAACACTAAAATTTCTGAATGATGTGGAAAAGGGGAAACACAAACCAGTCCCCCTCACTGGAGCTCAATGGATCATCTGGAACTGGAGCCGGGAAGGTTAAATGGCAAGTCTGAATCCTGGCAAGGTGATAAATCTGTAATCAAGAGCTGCAAGCTTTGGCACCTCAATAGGAACTTCATTACTCCACAACCAAATTGTACTTTTTAACTAGAAACAGGCCAGAAATAAACTCAACCCTTCTTTATTTTTCTTTATATTCTGGCTTTGGAGAAAACCGTCCCGTACTTGAATTCAGAGTCCTAGTTAATTTCCTAAACGTGATTAGTGCTGAGAAAGGAGCTTCTGATGTGCCTGGCATGCTGGTTAGAGAGAAAAATACAGCACAAAGAAAAATCTTCCGTATTAAGGAATTTAGTATGGATTTGTTAAAAGAGATTTGTTTTTACAAACCATCAAAACTGGGAATAGCCAAAATCATTAAATTTAAAAAATCATTAAAAATGGGAAGCATGGCTGTTGAGTGACTTCTCTTAATGCGGCTGGCTTTAATAACTTCATAACAAGAAACTTTTCTCCTGCAGTAACTGCTTGGATGGAGTAACCCAAGTTGTACTCCTCAACACAGGTTTTGTGTGGATTAGTCACCAATGGCCCACCTTCCTGAAGGCCGCCCCAATGAAGACTGATGTTGCTTAGAGACGTAAGAAAACATCTCTCTCTAAAGAGAAGAATGGGTAGGAAGGAAAGTGGAAAGAAAATTGCACACACATATATTATAATTGTATAATAAATTATACAAGCCAAAACTTCATAAAGCACACACATCACACGTAAACACACACATACAGCCCTCCCCGTGGCTCCTAAACCAGTGCCAACCGGCATGGGCACTTACGGTAGTGGGGCTCCATGTAACCATTCCTGGGGTCCATGGCAAACACCGTCCCCCGGTATGGCACAGAGGGCTCCGCCAGGTGTGGCAGCGACCCATGGATCTCCTTCTTGATCAATGAGGCCCTCTCGTCACTTGATGTTGAAGGTTCCTCACTGACTTTGCTGAGCCCCTGCACGTTCTGTGGCTGCATAGTGATTGCGTTTCTTCTCTCTCTGTGATAAGTCTGTCCAGGACTTTCATCCTCTAAAGAAAGAAGAAAAATGAAAGACTCTGTAAGCCACTTGAAGGAGCAATTTAAAACCGTGATCAATTAGGTCTCATTCTCTATCCCTCTCCCAGAAAAGAAGCCTTTTTCTCATTCATGGCAACTTTGAAAGCTACAGGGCTGGAATGGGATATTTGTAAGCCAAAATGGTTTGTGAACGAGGGTCCAAAGCACACAGATACACAGGGAAGGATGAAGGGGAGCAGGAAACAAGCCCTACTAAACTAAGATGTAGGGGTAAGCAGATTAGCATCAGCAGCTTCTAGCTGGATCTGCCCATGAGGTTTCTGCTCATGGGCTGGCCAACACTTTGCAGGTCCCATGTGGAACTAAAACCTTTTCCAATCTAAGACTGTGCATGTCCAGCTTCCCTTTGCCTACCTGGAGACACAGGGCCTCTGGGCTGACACCACGTCCATCCAGCTACCCACTGAGGCTCTGGTTGCTCCAGGGGGGTACAGGGCCTTTGTTCCCAGAGGATGACCTATGAGTAAGCTATCTGAAAGTTTATGTGGTTTTGTTATTTTAAGTCAGATTTGTAACCCAGAGAGAGATTTTACAGAACCAAAAATGGAACAGAAAACTCACTGGTGACAAGGGAGAAACATGCCAATCATGAAACCTAGAGCCTCCTGTGAGATACTTCCAGCTTCTGTCCATGCAACAGAGCTGAGACCTAAGAAAAAACTAGAGTGAGACTGAAAGTCCAGCTGTGAGACGGCTCTGAGGGTGAGGAAGGAAAGCGTGGGGGATGTTGATATGTGTCCATGCTCTGGTGGGTCCATACATTTCTTCAAACATGTAAGAAACAGCTTGACAAACTTCCACATACAGTTGGTATTCCAGTTTCCTAATACTTCAGTTCCCTTTTGTCAGTGAGAACTTTCTGTCTATCCACTATGGTTCTCTGTAAACGCGACTGGATGACCTTTCTATAACAGCAGATCAAAGAATCCATGCATAAAATCAAATCACACTGCCTATGTGAACCCATAGCAAGTGGACCAATTCATTTCTTTGAATCATACATACACTCTGAACTACACGCTCCCAAACAAATTCCACAGTTAATCAACAGACTGTGCTCTGGCAAATAAGTGCTGCTAGAAAGCTGTCCAGGTACCACTTAGACATCTCACGTAAAAACTGTTTCTTTATTCCTATCTTTTAAAAAAAACTGCATTTGGGTATAAATAATATTGTTGTGCATTTTAAATGAACAGATTTTGAACACATCTTATTCCCATATACAAATGTATCTTCAAAATAATTCATAAAGCAGATATGATTAACTAAGGCTTCACTCAATAAACAGAAGAATAATGCTTTAGCAGTTTAACAACTCTGTTCAAATTCAGAAGAAAGTAGGACTGTAAACGCAGACTTGCATAAAAATACAAACTGAAAATAATAAATACTACTAACGTTGACTCAGGATTTGAACTACCTAAAGCCAGTGACAAGTTTAGTCTTTCTGCCTGTGTGTAGTACTTGGAAACTAAGCAATATATTCCTTTAGCCTAGCAAATGACTCAAAACACAGTAGACAATGAGGTATGCTTTGGTCTTTACAGAGAACTTGCTGACTACTACAAGGTAACTGTGAAATATTATTTTAATATCATTTTGTGCAGATCCTCATCCCAAACTGTATAATTAAGGGGTAAATTATACATTTAATCTATCGAGTAAAACCTAAAACAAAAACAGAAACAGAAAAATGTTGTAACCCCACGTGTTCACACTGATGTCTATGAAAGCAATTCACACCACGCTCCTGGTAATTTTCAAACAAGCTACAAAAGATGAAATATATTTTTATTTTCCCTTCTAACTAATATTTTTAGGCAGTAGTCCACCCTTGTACTTCATTAGCAGAAAAGCCACAGTCTATAGAACAAGAATTGTGCAATTATGTAAAAGCAGAAGGGTGTCAAAAACACTAAAACCTATGTCAGTTTTATAAAAATTCCTATAACCTACAAATGGCCTAAGTCATATTTTCCACTAATTTGTGCTCTGTATAAAGCCTTTATTCCAAACTTTAATCTGAAATGAACTTCTAGCACTGAGGCGCAAATTCTGTAGAAAGGGACCTTCAATTGGAGGCCAGAAAACCCTTCCTCAGGGGGGTTGTGACACATAATTAGCATTCCCTGGGAAAGATGAATAACCAAGCTCCGCTAACCTGTTCCAGGTTTAAAACAGGATTTCCTTGACTTAATCATCCCAGAATAAATTAACTTTTCTTCTCTTAAAACGGCATCCCTATAATAAACTCTGTCTTACAAACTATGTGTTTATGATGAGCATTTGAATCCAACCTAACAAATAATTGAATAATGAATGGGTTATGGTCTGGCCAGAGAGTCCTCCCACCATTCCCCCCAACCTCTTGAGAGAATAAAGTCAGGGAGGGTAATGGCGGGGGTTGGGGGAGAGCTGAGAAGAAATGAAGGTCCCTTTTAGCTCAATGATTTTCTTAATGAGAGTTCACCCAACAAAAGTAAATATTAAAGTTATAATAAGAAACCAAAGCACACGTTTAATACAGAAAAATTAAATTAAAATTACTATTCCCTTAGTAAAGTTAAATGAAGGCAGGATTTTTTTTTTTTTTTTTAATGTGAAAACTTCCATCAGGAGACTTACTTTTACAATAGTCAGTGCTACCATATTTTACCCAACTACATCTCCCGGCCCCAAAAGGAAAACTCCAGCAGACAAATACTTCATGAAGTTTACCTCCTGTACCAAGTTGCTTTTGATGGGCATTCGTATAAAAACCTGACAGCACACACAATCCACAATACAAACAGCTACGAAGCTTGAAAGCGCTCTGTATATAGTGAAAGGGAAACTTTCCAAGCAATATTCCTGCCTGCTCTTATAAATTTAGCAACCACTTCAGCAAGCCAAAAGACGAAAGCTGTCTAATCTTGTTCAGTTGAGCCGAGTTGTTCAATAAAGTTTGAGAGTCAGTGCAGACAGGCTACGCCAGGCCAAATTATTGACAGAAACACACTGTCCACCATGGCAACAGGCAGAAGTCTGCTGCAAAAATGTAAGCAAACAGCCCACTGCTCCAAGAGCATCTGCCAATGGACTTTAACAGCCAAACACAAGGCAACTGTTCCCGCTTCTCCATGTTTAACAGCTGCAAACTCGGGGGTCAAACCGAAACAAGCAATTCACTAAAATCTTTCAGGAAAAAATGACTTTAAATACTGTCATCATAATCCCACTTTGTACCTCCTTCTTGTATATCCATGCTCAAGTGGAAATTAACAAAGTTCTGCCCCCAGAGAGCTGCCCAAAGCATCACGTTTTAGAAACTGTCCCAGAATTTCCAAACTCGTCCAAAAGCAACTGACATCAAGTCAGATACTCTTAGTCCTAGAAACTCAGAAAAAAGAAAGTGAGGTCCCTGCACACAGTGCTTAGGACGTTTGACTTTTGCAATAAAGGTCTGAAGAAAGTAATTACGTTGCTGCAGGAACCAGGACTCCAACATGCACCTGTATGCGCTTGTATACAAGCACCTATACGATTTCTCATGTGAACCAAGGAGACTGGTTTGGGCTTTTTTGTTTTGTTATGTTTTTTTTTCTGCCCATGACTTGAGAGAAAAGTTTCAGGCGATTCCTTCAAGATAAAAACAAAACTCTGCCAGGCATCACTAACTAAGGACACCTCCTGTCACCTAACCAAATTAGCTGATTAGGAGCTCACAGTACTCATGTCCACCCACTTTCCCCCTTAACATCGATTTTTCCTTAAAACCCACTTTAATACCGTTACTCCTCCCTTGCCCCAAGACCTAGAAGACACAGAGTATAAGAGAACAGACAATACTTACAACACAGTCCCCGGGCTCTGGCTAGCTACTTTGTGCCAACTTCTCTTGGTGAGCTTTCTCTAGCTGTGCAGACCCTCTAGGAACATTCTCGGTGTCTCTCTGCCTCCCTCTCCCTCTCCCTCTCCCAGGCAATGCTGCTCCCATTAGAGGAATTAAAAGTGGTTGGAGCCATGCTAAATTTAACAAGCTCATTAGTATTCTTTCTGAGTGCTTCCGAGTGAACTCTCCCTATTCAAGCCTCTCTCTCCAGCAGAAGGGTCAGGCGGCTAATCATTAAATCAAACTAATGTCACCCTATCACAATCAGCCTGAGAGAAGGAGGGTTTATTATTTCAGTTTATGCTAAATAAACGGTTTTACAAATGGTCCCCAAGCAAGGTCAACAGCAGCTTCAATTACAAGACAAACTTAACAAGAGTTGCTATAAACCAAGTACCCTGTATTGACTTAAGAACAGGCTCCGCTCCACATATTGCCACTAGCAGGATTGTACAGGAATGCATATTGTAAAATAAAGGAAGGGGTGAGCTTTTTTCTTTGCCAGAATTTGCGAGTGCACAGCGACTCCTCATTCACCTCTCTCCAACCAGCTAGCCGCTCAGCTCAATTCACCCCACACAAAGGCTGGAGCCCAGACCTCAATGGACCGAGTGAAACATGTTCAAAACTAGGCTCTCTATTGTGACTGAATTTCTTAACATCTTTTCAAAAAGCGGAGAATGCCTTGAGGCTAAAGGAAGAAACAGGCTAATGGTGAATTGGGAATTCTGAGCAAATTTCAGAGCCCTTGCCTCCTAGCTTTTGAGGTTGAAAGCAAGCTCTTTCCTTTCAAGTTTCAAAGTCCTTTTTCCACCCGCAGTGTCACAGAAGGATTTGAAAAGAAGGTAATTGTGCTCGCAGTCTCCCTGATCAGAGCTTACGTCCTATTTCTGGTATTTCGGAATACTTCTTGCAATAATAGTGCATATAGCTCAATCCCTTAACCGGCCTGCACTCTGCAATTGCTCATTAAATGAACAATTGTGGGTATAAAATGCCTTTTATGTTCAAGGTCTGGATATAAGATAAGCATTCTAGGACTCTAAATTTGGTTTACTAAGGAAACTCTCCATCATTAAA